GAATTGTAAATAAATTTTGTGCAAAAAGGACTGGAAAAATGAACTGTATTATTGCAATTTTTTTTTTTTTTTTTTTTGGGTAAAAGTAGCAGTTTGGTATGAGTTGGCATGCATACAAGATTTACTAAGTGGGATAAGCTAATTATACTTTTTGTTGTGGATAAACAAATGCTTGTTGATAGCCTTTTTCTATCAAGAAACCAAGGAGCTAATTATTAATAACAATCATTGCACACTGAGTCTTAGCATTTCTGATGGAAACAGTTTGGATTGTATAAATATCGCCAAGCCCAGTTGTAGTCATTTGAGTGCAGTAATGAAATCTGAATCTAAAATAAAAACAAGATTATTTTTGTCATGCTGACTCCACTGCTTGAAAAATTTGTTTACTGCCCCTCAGATTCTTAAAGATTAATGCAGTAAATATAAAAATTAATTTTGGCTCCCTAAGCCATGTATGTATTTGACAATTTTAACCACAAAGTAAGTTATTCAATAATAATCACTGATTTCTTTAAGCTGACTTAATGAACTCCTAATATCAGCAAATTTGAGGCCTAAAGGCACTAAACTAACTCTAGACTCAGAATTACATCCAACAGAATTACTCATCTAGTATCAGTGAAATTATTCTTGCACATAATGGCAAACCTAAGTACAAAGTTAAGTCTTTTACTAAGGATGTTACCTAGGATGAGCAGTATATGTTTATTAGGAAATTAACTACACGAATTGAAGAGACCAGACTTCAAAATCTAATTTTTATAAATATGCTCTATGTTCTCATTGGATAAAACTGGTTATTAACCAATTTTCCAGAACAGCTGTACAAAATTTCTGCATGGCAGCCGGCTAAATGGTACAAAATAATATGTTTAAGCTGGAATAGCTTATAATTTTATTTAAATAAAATTGCTGCTATAAAAAGTGCTTCCCAAAGCTAAGGAAAATAAACAAATATTTTAATTAAGGCAAATTCGTTTTAAAAAAATAAGCCTTTGAGCAGTGATTGCTTTGTAAACAAAGGATGGGTCGGAAGAGAGAGCGCCTTAAACTCAAGTCTGACATTCAGGCCCGAGTCACCCTATAAACCCGGCCTTAAGCAATTCTATTTTCTATTAGAAAAGAGAAACCAGCTGTGGGTTGGCTTTACTAGGTGATGTGTGATTGACCGGCTCACCTGCTGGAGCAGCAATGCATTCTCACCTTTTGTTGATGGGGCCTTGTTTCTAAACACGTGGATGCGCTGAGAGCAAGGCTCAGCCTGCTGCAGCCATCTCTGGCAGCGCACCCCTCCCCACCCCATAGATGGGATTGTTTAAATCTCCCTTGTTGACCCAGTGGCAATTCTTCCTCTACCTAAATAGTAGATACGAGAAATCATGCTCTTTTGAAAGGTGGTTACTAGCAGTTAACAACCATTTATTTACTTTAAAAATTAATAATAAACTTTATAAACTAACCATCTATTTCCTCCTCCTCCCCAGTACATGCTCGGGTGAGTTGGTTATTTTCAGCCTTTATTCTTGAGGAGGCTCAGGATGGGTGGGGGAGGGAAAGAAAGGGGAGGAGGTGTGGTGGGGAGGGGGGGCGGGAGAGAGAGAGAAAGAGAGAGAAAGAAAAAAAGAGAGAGAAAGGCAGAGGCTCTAGGAGAGGGAGGTTTACAAGTGAAGAGTACTTAGGGAATATGGTTACTCTGTAGAATCGAGATCAGCAGTGTCCAGGAATTAGAAAAAATAAACTGCTGTTTCCTTGCGTTCCCCCCTCTGTGAGCCATTGAGGTGAGAGCCCCGCTCTGCGCAGTTCCTTTCTTCCCCTGCTTCGATGCCCTTCCCTCTTAAAGCTATTTTAGCTTTTCCTCTTGTAAATTTCAGAGCCAGCTCAGAGGTTATTGAGGACACTTATCCGAAAGAGGCAAATAATAGAGGTGCTGAGAGTGTTTTCGATGTTTCTTAAAAGGCAAAAACAAAACGCCCTCCTCTAAACAAGGGTACAGAATCGTACCTGCTTTTTATGTTTATTTGGGGGTGGGGTGGGGGGCTGGCTCTGGCTGAATGAGACTACTTTTTATTATTTAAATTTTTTTTTCAAAAAATTAAAAAATATTTTACCCTATCATATTTAGTCAGCTGTAATTATAACACATTCAAAATGAATAATATGCCTTGACAGTATTTTTATTGTTATTGTTCATTGCATGATGTTCGACTGCTTTAGAAGCACAGGAAAGAGAAGTAAACGCGCTACAAATGGGGAATTACCCTCGTTTAGCATTAAAATTCATTTAGATAAAATTGCCACAAACATTTAAATGGGAAGATTAGTTCCCCCTCACGCCTTATTGCACTCGCTCAATGGTTCCGTTAAGAACATTTTACACGTTGGAAATTCCGTCTTCTCAGACGGCTTGCTGTTTCCTAGTTACCCACATTCAAAGCAAAGGCAGCAGCAAAGGCAGCCGCAGCAGCAGCAGCGGGAAAAAAAAAAAAAAAAAAAAAAAAAAAAAAGTTTTGGCAACTGGTCTGCAATTCATCCGCTGCTCGCCCCAGTCTCCCCTCCGCCCACTGCAGTCTGCCCCCACCCCTTCCCCTTCCCCACTCCTGCCCCGTTCCCCTCATTATGTAATTCGCAGAGTCCTCGAGGAAACACGTTGCATAGTTGTGCAGTATTTATATACAATGTTAAAATACAAAGACCCCAAAGCCAGTAGGTTCCTCTCCGGGTCTCCCTCTCCTGCTGTAAATTGAGGGTTTCGTTTGAACGTGCTGAGTTTCTCACATCCCGCACCCGGAGGCCACAGGCACGTTTTTTGGCTTTCGTTTCTGCCAGGACTTTTCCAGGAAATTCACCACTGCTTTTTGCTTGTATTAGAAACTTGTGAAAGAATTAGTCTGAAAAGTCCATGCATCGTCTAGCTTTTCCCTTCCCTTTCTTCTTCTTCTCTCTCTCTCCCCCCACCACTCTCGCCCTCCCCCATCCTCCTCTCTCCCCCTCCCTTCGCAGAGCCACAGGAAAAGAGGAAAGTCGGCTTCGACTGCCATCTTTTGGGGATTTGGAAAAACGACTCGGTAGGAAACGGAGGGAGGCGGAGGCGCGGGGAGTGGGGGAAACCCCCTTATTATCCAGTGTCGGAACTGGCTCCCTTAATCTGATGCTTAAATATTTGATGTGGAAAAATTACCCATAAAATTAGTTACTAACAATTTCAAATTGAAATCACTTATCGAATTATAAACGCATTAAAGCTGTATGGATGGTATTAGGAGTTCCTCGGGAGGCAGCGGGTGTCTCCTCGCAGCAAGCCGGGCGGGCGAGTTTCGCCCCGGGGAAAAGCGCCCCCAGCCGAGCCTGCGGGCAGGGCCGGGGAGGCGGCGCGGCAACCGGGGCGCCGGGTCCGGGCCAGGGGCCCGAGCGGGCGGCGGCGTCCGGGCGGAGGCTGCGGCCGGTTCGGCTCGCAGGGGCGGGGAGAAGGGGAGGGGAGGGAGCGGCGGTGGGAGGCTCCGACCCCGGGGCAGAGGCGCCTAACCGCAAACTTCGTAGTGAAGTCCAGGGATTCTGAAAAGGAAAAACGCACGCCCAGCCCTCCCCTCCCGCTCGCGTCTCTCACGCAGCGTGCACACTTCGCGCTCGGCTTTGCGGTCGGGGTTAGTTGCCGTGTGTAGTGCCCCCCAAGCCTGCAGGCGGAGCGGGAGGGGAGAGGCCCCTGTCTTGGGGTTGGGCCCGACTCCGTGCCCCGAGAGGAAATCCCGCGGGCCGCCGCGCGGAGCTGTAGCCAGCACGCGCTACCCCTGGGCCCCGCGGTGCGCGGGGTCCCGGCCTCGCCCGAGTGTGTGGGCGGACAGGTCTTTGCCCCCAGACCAGAGCTCTGGCCCGGGGCGCTGCGCTGGCGACCGCCTTCGCCTCCTGCCCTCTCTTCACTCCCATCTCAGAGTCCAGTCTAAGGGACTGTTGACTTTGTCTCTAGAGATAGGGCGACTGGGGGTCTGCGACGGAGGTTGTGGAGAGGCACCTCCTGGGTGGGGCTCCGGGCCCTCTCTCCTCTGAACCTCTTGGAGTGCTTTGTTACAGCCCAGAGACTTCCTAAAGAACTCTGCCACAGCCGGGCCCCGGACTCCAGAGTCCCACGGTGGCAATGGGAGCGCGACCCCCAGAGCCTGGGGACTGGAGAGCGCCGGGAACGCGCGCACTGCCCACTGGGAGGGCGTTGGGCGGAGAGTGCCGGAGTCTGGAGCCGCAGCTGGGAAGCCGTGGGCAGCACCTAAGGACGCCTTAGGCAGGAGCTCCTTAGGGTCACTTTAAAAGCTCTGCAAACCTTCCCCAGCCTTTCGGATCCCCGCAGGCCCTCGGCCCATGAAAAGGTAGTAGAAACCACTTCACGCCGCAAAACTCCCGCGTAGGCGCTTGGACGCTGATGGAGAATGGTGTGGAACAGGGTAGCGGGGCGCCCTGCTTGGCTGGGCACTTTTCCTTGTCTCACTGTCGTCTCACGTGCCATGCCTTACCCATTGGCTGTTAGCGGCGCGTTTCACTTAGGGTGGCCAAGGTGCGGAGACTACAGGAGGCTGGGAATCCCAGGGTTTGGGGAAGAAGTACTGAGCGAGAGTCGAGGGGTCGGGGACCTGAGGGAGACAGCTGATGGCTGGGAGAGGGAGGGCTCCCTTTTCCTCCCACTCTGCCCGCCAGGGCGTCTGAAACATTCTCTCCCTAGGCGTAGCTGAAAGGAAAAACAAACAACGTATTGAGCAATCAGTTCGCCAACGTTGGAGCTTTAAAGAGCCTTTGCTCTGAAAATACTACCCTGGGAGTCTCCGTGGGGAGATGGGGGAAGCATTTTTAGGTCCTTGGTTCTGATTTGCCCGGCGCCCCACGGGTTGCCCCACGGGTCGCCCCCCGGCGCGCTGCCCTCTGACATCCCTGCGCGCTCAGCCCACTGCGGGGAAACCCGGGACGTGAAGCCCTAGAAAAAAGGGATTTAGTTTTAAGCCAGTCTCCCATCGATCGGGTCGGTAATTTCTAGCCCTGCCCACTCGCAGACACACTCACCTCTCTACCCTAAAGCATTAAGTTCATTACGCGAGCAATGATCTTAATCTCCAGGCGGAAAACGAGTCCCGGGACCTCGCCGATTGGGGAAACAGTGAATAAAGTCACCTGCTTCGCTCACCCGCTTGGCCAGCTCCTCCCGGTGGGGGCCAAGTGTGGCAGGGAGCGTGGAGCGGGGGTCCCTAGCTCCAAGCCGAGGCGGTCCAGGCAGGGGTTAGAAACCCTGTGTCTGTTTTGCGCGGGGTGACGACCTCCTGGAAGGGTGGGATAGCTTTTGCTCGTTTTCCTTCTCCGCTCCCTCTGCCTTCCTTCCTAGGCCTCCCTCGCACCTCTGTACTTTCTTCCTCCTCCCCTCCCCCCAAGTGGCAAGTTCCTCTTCTCCACCTAGCGTCCAGAGGGTCTGCCCCTTCGCAGTCCCCCGCAGCCTCAGGGCCGGCATGGAAGTCTGGTAGCCCGACGCTTTTCCGCCCACCTACCTCACCCACCTTTCTAGGCATGGGTGGGTGGGGAACAATCAGTGAGGCCCTTTTGAAGCCACTTGCTGAGGGCACCCCGAGGCTTTAAAGAACCATATTTCTCGATTTAGGGGCGATCTCTGCGGCATTGTTAACTCCATCCCAAATAAACCCAGCACAGCAGCAAACACCCCCAGCAGTTGCCTGCTTCTCAGCCCCCGCCTTGGCACAGAGCAGCGTCTGGCACGGCGGGGAGATGGAGGCGAGCCACGCGCACCCGTCCCTTACTGGCGGACCCGCGAGGCGCCAGCTTGTTCTGGAGACTCAGTTTCCACTGGACAAAAGCAGGGGAAACACAACGCAAGGACTGCAAATCCAGGTTCCTGACACCCCGCCACCCCACCCCAATCTGGTTTTTGAGACGCGCATTTTCAGGTAGTCCTAAACTGTGAACAGCGAGCTTTGTGTGTTATCTAATGGGGGTGGGGATGAAAGGGGAGGAGACTCCCACTGCCCGTTCCAGTCTTTAATGTCTGAAATAACGAAATGCCTGTGTAGCAGCTGCTGCTTGAGCCAAAACTAACTCTTTGGAAGACGGAAAAGAGTGAAAGGCAAAGAAAGACTGTTCATTTTTTTTCTTTTGGTGCCGTTTGGGATGTCATCTGTTTCCTTGGCGACTGTGTTCAGCCCCCGGAGCCCCTGGGCTCCTGGATTGTTAGGGGGGAAAAGCATGCTATTTCTGCACCGTCATTTATCACTGTCACCGCATAATGATTCCCCTTGCAGCCCCTTATTGATGTTTGTAATTGCATTATCTCATAAAGGAGGATGATCAATGAAACCGAGCCGTGCATTCTGGGGTCAGAGGAAGCCAAAGTACTGTTTGTCCCCTTTAATACAACAAGTACTCATTATCTTTAGGTCTGCATTCAAAAAATGATCTGATCTAGGGCTGACCCTGT